TTCCTTCATGCTTTCTGATTCCTCTCAGGGCAAATACAACTAACTGCCTCTTATTCGACATCATTTAGACACAACGATGATAAGTTCTACATAAAGATCATGGAATCATAGAATGGTTTGGGTTGGAAAGGACCTTAAAGATCATCTAGTTCCAGTGCTGCTGCCATGAGCAGAGACACCTTTCACTAGACCATGCTGCTAAAAGCCCCATCCAACCTGGTTCTGAATACTTCCAGCAATGGGACATCCATTCTGGACTTCTCTGGGCAACCTGTTCCAGTGCCTCACCATCCTCTGAGGAAAGAATTTCTTTCTAATGTCTAATCTAAACTTACTCCTTCTGTTAAAACCCATTCTTCCTTGTCCTGTCACCACATAATGTAAATATGTAAATAGTCTCTCTCTATTTGTCTTGTAGGCTCCCTTCAGGTACTGGAAGGCCACAATTAGGTCACCCCAAAGCTTTCTTTTCTTCAGGCTGAAAAATCCCAGTTTTCTCAGCCTTTACTCATAGGAGAGGTGTTCTATCCCTCTAATCAACTTGGTGGCCTCCTCTGCTTCAACACGACTCTGTCCTTCCTGTCCTTCCCAGAGCTGGATGCAGTCTCCAGGTGGGATCTCACTAGAGCTGAGCAGAGGGGCGGAATCATCTCCCTTCCGCCCATGCTGCTTTTGATGCCTCCCATGATACAACTGGCTTTCTAGGCTGTGAGTGCACATTGCTGGGTCGTGTCCAGCATCTCATCCACCAGAATCCCCACAAGTCCTTCTCAACAGGGCTGCTCTTGATCTGTTAATTCTCTCAGCATTTTTTAATACCAGGGTTTGCCCCAAGCCAGGGATAGTACCGTGAACTTGGTTTTGTTAATCCTCATGAGATTCCACAGGCCCAAGCCTCCAGCATGCCCTCTGGATGGCATCCCATCCTTCAATTGTGTCAATTGCACTAGTCAGCTCCAGGTCCTCAGCAAATTTACTGAGGGTGCACTTTATCTCTTTGTCTGTGTCACTGATGAAGACATTAAATGACACTGTTCCCACTACAGACCCCAGAGGGACACAACCTTTCACTGATGTCCCCTGGCACTCTGAGCCATTGACCACTACCCTCTGCGTGCAACCATCTAACTACTGACCTCCAGCCATCAAATACATCTCCCTCCAGTTTGGAGAGAAGGATGTTGTGGGGGATTGCACCAAAGGCCTCACAGAAGTCCAGATAAATGACACGTGTAGCCCTCGCTTTGCCTACTTATGTAGTCACTCCATCATAGAAGGCCACTGCGTTGGTCAGGCAGGACTTGCCCTTCTTGAAGGATACTGGCTGTCTCAAATCTCAAATCCTCCCTATCCTCCATGTGCCTTAGCATATGTCTAGGAGGATCTGTTCCATGATCTTCCCAGGCACAGAGGTGACATGTCAGTAGTTCCCATTCATTGGAGAGATGTGGGAAGAGAAGTTACCATTGAATAATGAGTCAAAAAAAAGCTGTTTAGTAACTCAGCCTTCTTGTCATCTTTTGTTACTAGTTTTCCAGCTTTGTTTGTCAGGGTCAGTACCTTCTTTTCCCTTCCTTTTCTGGAAATGGCCTGGTCAAGGCAGGGTAAGATGGTCGGGGAGAAAAGAATACCATTTTCTCTCACAGTCCTGTCCTGACATTCTCTCCTCAGTATGTGGGTGTTTGGATGTGAAGGTTAAAGTACTGGGTGCCCATCCTATCCCTTAATCACCCCAAGGCCCAAAATGGCAGCTTAACCTCCTGCTAGAACTTCATAAATGGGTCTCACACTCCCAGGAATGTTCCAAGGTCTCACCAGCAAGGGCTGAAGCTTGCAGAGTTCATGATTGACTGTATAGTCATTTTGTTTTTTAAATTATGTTGCAGTCTGAGAGATGCTGACCCTGTCAAAACCTAATTTAGTTCTCTAAAGTACATAAAGGAAATAAAGCTAAAAGAAAAAAATAATGGTATGTAAATGCTACTGTCAGAACCGTATTCATTTCCCTCTAATGTGATAACATGGATGCAAAAAAAAATCACAGTTTGACAGATATCAGCCAAGAGATGCTTCTACCACTATCTCCAGATTTCACATGTGTGCTTTTGCTTGTGACTTTTCTCCATTACTTTTTTGTGCTTGCCATTTTTCCTGCCATTTTTCTGCTGGTATTATTCTTCCTGTTTGCACTTCAGGCATTCTGTTATCTACACATGACTTGATATGATTTCCTCTTTGTTCACCCCATGCTTATTTTAGCTGTTTTTTCTTTCCTCTTGCTTTTTCTATCAACATCCCATGTACATCGATATATTTCTTGCTTTGTTTTACACTGTAGCCAGTTGTCTACTCAGAAACCTCTAATATTTGGACATTATGATGTGAATATGACTCATTGCAAACACCTAGAAACAAGAACAATTTCAACCTCATAAACAATGCTCTCATTTGATTATGACAACCCAACATTTGCTTCTACTTCAACCACTTCTTTTCCCTCAAATAGGAAACCAGTTACCTCACTATGTGCAGTGCATGGGAAGAAATGCATCAAGAGGAAGGCAAAGCCACCAAGAGGTGGAGAAATGCATGCATTTCTCTTCTACTTTTATGCATGATCTTCTACCTATTTTCTATATATACATGCTTCCTGGCTGTGAATATCAAAGATGTAGATGGAACAGAATGAAATAAATGGAAGAAGGTAGAGTGCATATATAGCGAATCAAAACATAAGTAACTACTAGCTAGGTCTCTTGTACTCTACATGGTTACTGCAAGTTAAATCACACCTTCATGAAAAAAATCCACCTGAATTTATGATGAACTGTTCTCTCTTCTGTCATGTGACTTCACATTTCAGAATTTCAGTGTTTTCTTCCTGCAGCCCCACACCAATGGGAATGCAAAACAGAGAAGCCTTAATTAAATCTCAGAGAATTCACAAAAACTTCTATACAGGCTTACTCTTTGCCTTAGAAATAAGAGTGTGAAAAACTTTTTTATAGTGTATGGCTAATATTAGTGTTCCTGGACACCCTGGTACTGTAAAAGGGAAAATTAATGTGATACATTTCGCACATCAAGCAACTGTGTGTTCTTGTCTCAGCTATTTCCAGTAGAATCCAACACTTGTGCTATAACCCCTCCAAGAGTCATTGCCTTCAACTCAATAGTGAACAGGTACAAAGAACAGCCTGTGAAATGATTGCACCAGATTAGCACTTAACTGTGCCGTTAAAAGTATTCAAAACTTCTTACTGCCAAAGACAACTCTTTATTTCTTCTTTTGGTATGTGAACACTTCAAAATCTAGAGGTGGCCTGTCACATGTACTACATCTAACGGAGAAGACAGAGTTGTTGTGTAGTACTTTAATGAATGACTTAGAGGCAGAGTCCAAGTGTTTAATTTTCTGTTCTTTATTCGTTTAAGTTGAACCTTCTACAGTATTTTAATCTATGTAGCAAGTATCCATACTGTGTAGATGGAGTGAGAAGCATTGGCGTATTTTCAGACACGGCAGTATGAAATAAACCTTTCTCGCTTGTTATCCAGTGCTTTTTAAAAACCATTCATTCCCCTTCTCCAAAGCTTTGATCTGAAGACACATCTATACAATTGGATGGCTCTTCAGTAAATGTATTTGATATGTATGCCAAGTCTCTTCTTTACAGAAATCTTGCTTCAGAGATTGTGTGAGTGATTTGAACAAGTCTGGAGCTTTTTAAATGTTGGTGTGACAGCCAATATTTAAGCAACTCACAATGAGTTCAGCATAATGAAGAGTATTTTTCAAAGGAAAACAGCCTGTGTAAAGTATCGTAATGTGTCCACTTTCAGCTGGGTCTGCATGCAATAGACATTTTTAATATAGAGAATTAAATTTCTTACTAAAAAAAAAAAAATCATCCAAAACACAGCACTCTGAATTTTTTTTTTTTAAATGGGAAAAATTATTTTAGACCTTTTCCTACCATTTTGGGGGGGAAAAAAAAAGGATGAAATGAACTACCAGATTCTAGAGACCTTCTGAGTCACCATCTAGAAAGCATGTTGACTTTTGTAGGTTAGAATTTCTCTTTCCCACCAAAGATCTTCTGCTGGCCTACTTTGCAGTGCCCAATTACAAATCCACAAGAATCCTCCTTCCCCTATCTGACTGCCATCTGATATATTTTTTGAGTTGTGCTATTCTTCTTTCAACTTGAGTAATTGTAAATTTTTGAGATCACACTGTCAGAAATTTGATTTACATTACTCTAGGGCTACTAGTTTCATGTTTGTTATTGGCTTCATTGGAAGTGAATGATTCATACACAGTAAGTAATATTAACCAAAATATTAACCAAAAAAATATACAGAAAGTTTGGATATTATTATTATTACATGAGCAAATTCAAACAGCAAAAGTTTCCGTGGCAGGAAGCTGAAGTTAAAAAAAATGTGTATGATAAATGAGGAACTCTTTTTTTTTTTTTTTGGTTTTTTTTTTTTTTTTAGCAATCCGTATGGTAAATGTCTGGAGGAAATTGTCAGGAATGGTGATAATAATCAAATGACATTATGTGCCCTGTCAGTTCCCTGATTCAGTTTCCTCTCAGTAATACAGAAATACTCATCATTTACTTTCACAATCTACAGGACCTACTGAGTCCTGGGTGGGAATCCCAACCAAACTGCTTGAGGGTTGCCAGTGGCTGTAGCCCTTTCTTGTTCCAGCAGAAGGGCTTCCTGTCTTATCTGCTCAGTCCCAGAAACAGAGATAAATATTTATCTTAGGTATAGCAGATACTGGGTTCATTGGGTCATAAATAGAGCCAAATTCAGAAAGATGCACAGGTTAATGTGCCATGTGAGCTGGATTTCCTTTCAGATTATATCTTCTTTGCATGGTCCGGGCTTTTAAGGTCTTCTCCTTCTGTGACACTGGATAATTTAATCAGAAGATTCATTTTGACTCAAGACCTCATTTGTCTTTTGCAGGTAGAACAATAAATGACAGTTCCGTGAGCCACAGCACAAGACAGATGCTCTGCCTTCCACCTTGCTCATTAATCAGGTGGACAAGAGCATATCCCAGTCTTCACAGGTATGTAAATCATACATGGACTTGGTCTGCACAGGGCATCTTAATAAATTGGTGATAACATGGAAGAAATGTCACTATTTTTTACATTACCCATGGGAACTACACACTCAAATGTCTTAAGACTGTCACCCAAGTGAAAAATTTTTACAATATGCTGTGTATCTGCCACATGCAACACATATTTCTATCATTCAGAAAGAAATGGGTCTAGAGTAAGAAAGGCTTTATGAATCTTAGAAATAGTGTGACTTCAGAGGAATACTAACATCCAAATGGCACCTTCTGCTTTGTCAATTTGTGTAATGCTTGTAAACTGATATGTCCCTTTGTCTTGATAAAGGCTAAGTGCAGGTAATGGATTAAGTGCATTACTGGGCGTGATGAAAATAGTCCCAGATGTAGAGAGATGCATGCAAGATTGTGAACTACCCAGCAACAGAGGGTTGTCTGAAAAGGAAAATCAGATCATGAGAGTGTAGTGAGACAGCATATGGTTTACAGTGGAGTTTTGAAGGAATAATCACTATTGACATTTTCCTGAATGTCAGGGAAGTGTCTCTCAGTATCATTCGTTGTATGAATATTTCAGTCTTCCTGGATTAGCATCTTAGCTTTACTGGTGACAAGTATGTCACAGTAAGAACTCTTTTCCTCATTTTAAGGAATTCAGACATTATATCCTAGAGATGAAATTACAGAAACAATTTAAAAGCATTTTACAATGCTGTTACCTGGTTTACCATTTTTAATTTATGATCTGTGGACTATTTCTATGATATTCACAAGCTGCAACAGAAAAGCAAGCCAATTGTCAGCAGGCTTATATTCCCTCTCAATGAACTGCATGTTTCCATGCAGTGGAAAAGACCTGTGGGATCTGCAGATAAAAAAGTCAAATAGAACCAATTTGTGCCATTTCAGGCAGAACTTTTTAAACACCTAATTTTCTCAGAAAGCAGCCCCAGTTTTATAAAAGTGGCCAAGGAAATTATTTATAAATTAATTCAGTACTACTATAACTGTAGAGAAGTAGAAAAGGGTGCAGTGTGCTTTTTTTAAACATTGCTCAATATAGGCGACTGCATACTGAAATTGTTGCCTTCTCTACATTTTAGCTGTTAATGCATAAAACAGTACAAACTTTCATGATCTAACGTCTGGATGAGGAACCTTCATGCCTTCTCACTTCTTTCTTTCACTTTGGAACTAGTGGAGGTTTTCTGCCCACACTACCTCAAAATAACATAGCAAAAAGAAGAAGGAAGAAAAATCAATTTAGGCAGCCAGTGTGATATAAATGATTTTTTTCTACACCTTTTGAAATGACAAGTGTATACAGGGCCAAATTCTAAGCCTTGTTAAATGTGAAGACTGGATGAATAATGATTTTAATTTTTAAAAATTATTTATTATTTATATGCAGAGAAAATTCCATATTGATCAGATCAATTACTCATAATTAATAATTCATCCAGCTCCATTGAAACCTCTACACAAGGATCCTGGTCACACTAAAGTGATGTGATCATCTGCAGTACAAGTTCTGAATATTTCAAACATATTTTTAAAACTCTGTCTCTATTTAAGGACAGAATATTCAGTATGAAATCAGGAATGGCAAGTACATAAATTATGTTCTTTCACTGAGGTGAAATAATCTGAATTCCCCAGGAAGTGAAGAACTGGTTTAGGTTCTTCATTTTTAAATGTAGGTCCTCATTTGTATGACCAGAACTGCTAGATCTTGCTAGATCTAGTGTACTTGGTCACTCATTTCAGTTATGTGCAGCTAAAAGGTCAACATTTCCTTCTTTCTTCAGGAGTTCACCCTGTCTGTTCTCTTCTACTTGAACAAAATTGCTCTAAAAAAAAAAAGTTTTTAATTTGATCTGCCAGGTTAAAATGTTCCTTGCTGAGAAACTGAATTTAGTGTAGGTAGCCTCAGCAACACTTGTGATATGTGGTAATTGTAAGATCAAGCCTTTTTTTAGGAGACAAACTAACCCCAAGCATTTACACATTTCTTTTACAACTATACCAGAGCTAAGCCATAAGATTAGTAAACAGTTCCTGTTTGCTGGGAAAGAAATGTTTTCAAACTTACTCAGCACTTTGTGTCATATGCTGAGTGTCTGTGGTCACAATCTCAAATTCCTGTTTATTTTCAGTGAGTCAGCTGTTTTTTTCTTTTTTCCATAAAAACAAGTAGTTTCACAGGACTTAGTTTCCCCAGACGTCCTACTTTTCACAAACAGGGTGTAAGCCATTTCTATCTTCCTCAATGCAGAGGTCATGAAAACCACACTGATCACTCGTTTCTCTCCTGTTTCCTTCACACTGAATGTCGCTTAGAGAATACCTCACTATTAATGGCTTGCTTCACAGGTATAAAAAGTACAAAAGCCATTCCCTTCATATCTTTCAGTATAATTCAGCGTGAATGGAATCAGAAAGCCAGAGAATACATGCAAACTCAGATATTTTTGACAGACTGGGTAGTACAACTCACTGATGAAAGCTATATATAACTGTGAAATCACAGGGATTGTATATTCTCCTATCATCCACTATCAGTTTAAGCATTTTTTCTCTGCATTTTGCCGGTGTGAGCAGTCTTTTCCCTTTTTTGTCAGTGAACAATGACCCAGCTTGATTTGGTATATGCAAATCTCTCTGGGGACTTTGCAGTCCCAGAGAATATGGGGATATTTTTCACTGGGTCATGACAATATCAGATCAGTGGAATATACAGCTGCAAACCACAAGGCACTGCTGTTCCTATGTTGTCATCTCTTCCAGTGGAGTCTTCCAGTGCACAGAGGAAAAAAAATCTCCCTTTTAAAGGAGGCTTAAGATTTTGGTGTTTATGTACTTTCTTCAACATAGGGTCCAGGAACTCAAACAGTGCCCCAAAAAAAGTGATAGGAAGTGGTCCTGCCTCATGCTGCACTACATGTACTGAGGGTTAACACTGCACTGAAGTACGGGGAACACAGGTTGTGCCAGGTAGACCAGCTCTAAGGAACTGAACAGTGATGCGGGATGCATCTAGGCAGTGGCACTCCACAGTGTTAGATCATTACGATTGTCCTCAGCAAAGTTTTGGTCCAATACAATAAACAGACTCCCAAAATTTGTATGACCAGAACTGCTGGATCATAGTAGATGCATACTAGATCATTTAGTTCAGTTGCATGCAGCTAAAAGATCAACCTTTTCTTGTTTCTCTCACAGGTCACTAATTTCCAAAATTAATGGTAATTTTCAGTTGTGGCTATTATGTTAGGAAACACAAGTGGGGTGAACAACCCGTGGCTTCAGAATTCTAAGAGGATTGGCCGCTCTGCCATTATAAGTCCCTTTTATTCTTCATTTACAAGCATAGATGCAATCAGCAAATTGAACTCTTACTTCAGTGATTGTCTAATTGTGATCTTTAGATTTTATGATTAAATGGCTGGTATCTACAAATCATATTATGGCCCCTAAATCTGCTCCAGAGGATGCACAACACAGCAAGGTGGAATCCATCACTTCAATGGTTTAGTGTCTGCAAGTCTTCTGAGTTAACCTTGGGTTAAATTCAACCTTTCCATCTTCCTTCTGAGGCCTGGCACAAATTATGTGAGACTTTTTCTCTCCACAAGCACCTTCCAGTGGAACACCGGAACTGATAACTGCACAGGCGGGACTTGATAGCCCCAGCACACGTCTTTCTGAATAGCTAACACAGGAAAATGGAACTTGTCTTGGAAAAAAAAAAAAAAAAAAAAAAAAAAAAAAAAAAAAGAAACAAACCAGCACTGACGCATTCTTATACTTTTGGAATGAAATTTAAAACTAATTTTTCCTGGATAGGAATAGAGAAAAAATACTGGCCACAGCAGCTCAGTCCATCCAAAGAAGCAAATAGAAGTTTTCTTGTGAACAAGAAAACTTGTGAAAAACTTGTGAAAAGTTTTCTTGAGTTTTTTATGAACAGGCTACATATAGGAAATTAGCCACTCTTATAAAAATTGGTTGCTTTTTTCCAGTTCTACTTTTCAGATGTAATTGCAGCAATGACTCTGAAACTGTCTTATTAACAACTTGTTACAACAGAATATAGCAAAGGGGCGCAATTTTAAGAAAAAGTGAGTAGCATGTAGGCAGTCATCTTTAGTCATTGCATCCACCTAAATCATTAAAGCAAGAATCCTATAGAAATAAATAGAAATCCTACAAAAATAAATAACTTTGAAATAAAAAGAAAAGGGCTACCTTTTTCTTTGTGCACTTTGAGAGTGTCTTGTTACTTAAGCACTTGGAAAATTATTTTTTCCTGATGTTTTCAACTATCATTTTCTTTCCCCTGTGTTTTGCTACCAGTATACGTCTCTTCATCAAACCACAGAAAACTAAAATTGGAAAGGAGAGGTGCCTGTGGAGCACAGGGAAAACAAAGCACTACAGGTGTGGAGGACAGAGGGAATCTGCAACAATGGATTTAGTGTCATTTATAGCATCATATTCCAGCCTGTCCAGCAAGAAGTCACATTGCCCAACTCCTCATGTCTCAATGAAAGAGAAACCCATGACTACTGCAACCAGGAAATGCTGACATAACGAAGTTACTAAGAAAACCTGAATTTTAATCATTCTTCATGTTAGACACATTATAGGCAAGGTCACACCAGTTTTATTCACACTAACACCACTGGGGTCTTTTTCTCTTGACATAGTTCATGACAATCAGTCAAAATGCTTTTTTTTTTTTTTCTTTTTTTGTCAGCGCACAAAATGAAATAGCATTTTCCACAAGCACATGGAAAAGAACATGTTGAACCTGTAGTGTGGTTGTATCCTGTGAACATATTTTCAAGGTTTATTGCAAGGGAGGGCATTGCAGAGAAATGCCAGCAGGACAGGTTTAGACACTTTCAATGCCCATGAAGAGACATTAGTCCTGTATTCAAGAATTTTCTGGAAATTCTGGACAATGAGCTACCCATGACACAACCCCAAGACTCCACCACACTTCAAAATAGTCGTTATTGGAAGTAGTAGTATCTGTATATATGGAAGAACGAACAAATTATAGTCAGCTAAAGAGATTTCCTATTGCAGGCAAGGGCTCTGTGGCACAAAGCAAGGAGGAGAAAGGCAGAGCCAGGTATATAATTTGAGCAGCAAGAACAAGGCAAAGAGAGGGATGGAAAAAGAGATGAATAGGTGTGCGACCTCTCAAACTTGTGGTAGTATGGGTGGGTTCTTCCCACTATAATGGGAAAGGAGGGAGTGGGTACAACTGCAGGAATGGGACCATCTGCCTGTGGCACACTGGGGTTGTTTGCATGAGAGGCAGTGAGAACACAAGATGCAAAGGCAGTACAGCTGAGTCTGTGCCCCTGTCTTTTCACCCCAGACTGCTGCTAAGCCCTTTGCAGGGACCTTTGCTTTCAGATCAGTTTTCACTCTATTAGCAGCAATTCACATCACGATCTCACGTTTTTCTGAGACTGAAATATGACTGAATTCCACTGATTTACTCAAAACAAAGAACTCTCAAAACCCTTTAAAAACATTAATATAGAAATCTTAGTGTCAGTTCAGTCAACAGTCACTTCAGAGTAAAACATTTGGACAAACAAAAGATAAGGTGTAGGTGTTTAATGTTTTTTTTTTTCATTTGGGGGCCCTGAAAATGTGTGCAAATGGCCTCCTTGCTAAAGAACTGCACCTGAAGACACTGACTAAATCAATGCCAGTTGGGATTAGAAACCAGGATTTCTAAAGTCTTGATCTGCATATTTAGCTAACTCTTATTATCTCTTTCTTCCTTTTCAGAGCAAGTGATCACAGGTAAACCACAGACCTACACATTTTGCAAATGATGCAAAAATTGTGAAAATAATTGAATTGATGCACAAGGAGTGAATGGACAAAACTTGACTTGCTTAAGATTCCTGCATGCTGCTAAGCTTGAGTCCTTGAATCCTCTGCTCTTTAATTGGTACAAGAATACAAAATGTCCCTTTTGTTTAAGAAGTCAACTGAAGTAAGCAAAAATGAAACAAGAGCTTATATTGTCTTGGAAAAGCAAGTGACAAACAGTAAATTCTGGTTAAATGAAAGGGGTATGTTTCATGATAGAGAGATTTCAGGCAGAACTAACCACAAATATACGCCATTCTTTATTTGCTGTGAAGTCGAGAAATATTTGAAAGCTAACAGTCACACTCAGAATATTTTCAAGTTATTAGTAAAATTAAGGTTATCACTCCTGCTATAGCTCCCAAAATATATAAATACCCTGCTTTGAATATGTACCTCAAAATGAATAGTTCTTGCCATTACTAACATAACCCAAATACCTAGGGACATTTTAACACACACTATGAAGAGTCACTTATCTTTCTAATTGAATGGCAAACAGGTTTCTGCTGGGATGTCTCTAAAAAGCCTAAAACTACGGAATTACTGAATCTAATTTAAATTCCACTCAGACATGATGTAGAAAAACCATTACAAATCTGTTCCTGCTCAAAACATTTTTTGTTGTTTATTTGTGATTTAAAGGTTAAAGAATTTTTTCAAACTTGATTTTATTTGTTTTGCTAATATATCATGTTTATAAGATACTGCATATTTTTATACTGGGAAAGGCTCACCTCATTTACTTCTTAGGCTGCAATTAACAGTATCCTTGTAATTTCCTCTATTGCAATAATTTTCGTTGTTTTCACCCTAAGAGTTCAACCATGATCATTCAAAGTAGCAGTGTTGAAAGATAAGTGAGCTTTTTCAAAATAAATCATCTCGGTTTTATTTGTATTTTCCCTCATTTCATTTGACAACAGCATTTATTTCCTGGTTAAAAAGCTCAGGACAGGCATATAGCACCATCATTTAGAGCTCTTAGCAATCAGGTCTATTGAAAGGTGTCCCAACTCATGGCAGGGGCATTGAAACTGACAATCTTTAAGGCCCCTTCCACCCCAAACCAAATAATTCTATGATTCTATGATTAGAAATACAGTAATACCAAAATTTGGCATTAGGGAGTTGCACCACAGTCCTATCTAAGAAAAAAAAAACAAAGACAAAACCAAAAAAATCCAACGAGAAACCTTCCATAGTTTGATGGTCTAAAAAATCAAATTAAGTCCATTCATTATGGAAAGCTTATTTAAACTGCATATCCCCCAAAGATTCTGGCCTCTTTGCCAGTTGCTTTGGTAACTTCCACAACCCATGACAGATATGGACACCTATTCTTTGGATCCCTGCCAGACTACCATCCTTACTTCACAGAGGACACCAAACAGCAGCTAAATGTTATATAATAATAATGCCTTTTAGGAATTTGAAACCAAAGTGAGAAACAGCTTTTCTTAATTTTCTAAGAGTGTGAGCTGCATCACATTGTGAAAATGAAGGACAAAACATCTAGAATATTTTTATCCAGTGTCATAGACATTTTGTTGCCTTGCTCTTTAAGACAAGTTCATTTAGAAACACATGATAATGTAATTTCCTTTTGAAAAGGAATAGTGATTTCTTCTGTTTAAACATGGGGAAGGACCTAAACATCTCTGCACTGGGCAATAGGAGAAGTGTTGTGCTCTGGGAGTGCAACACTGTGAGGACTGTGTTGGGCCTTGCACAGGCACCCAGCTGCAGACAGATGGTTACTTGACTCTTCCAGTAATACTTAGTTAACAAAAGCCTAAGGAAGTATAAGGCAACCCTTCCAGCTCTGCTCTTTCCTTCCAAGCTTTTAAAACACCTCCCAAACCAAAACTTCACTAGTCTTTGAGAAAAACATCTGCAATGACAGAGACTGAGTGCACTGGAGGCCAACCAGCAATTTAAGGTATCTTTGGTTAGACTCCTCAGTGCCTAGCAGCATACTCATATCATAGCCTAATTCAAAGAGGCTAAGAGCATTCTATGGCTCTGTTGTTATTTTAGGGGAACTTTAGGCACCAGTCCGCCTGTCAGAGCAAACCTTGAGATAGTCAAGAGCCTAGTGATCATCCCACCACCTCAGAAGTCCATGTATTCAGTCAGGCAGTACCCACCATCACTGGTCCCAGAGACGAGATTGTTGGAAGGGGAGAAAGAAGAGGCCAGGAAGGGGAATATCCGTGTGCTGTGCCCAGGAGGATGTGTTCAGGCATCAGGATAAGCCAGCCATTCATTTCCCCTTCCTTAAGGAAATGAGGTGAGTAGGATCCCTCTACTTGGCTACTGGCCTTTTTTTTACTTCATTTACTGGCTACTTCCTTTTTTTTACTTCATTCTTTCAACAGGGCACTTCTGCCTGACAAGGCTTTACTCCTTGAGTTCTTATTTTTTCAGACTTTAAGTTTCTTTAAGCTATGAATATCTTTGGGTTACAATTCATATTTAAGAATGAGTTTCAAGCTTAATTTGAAGGTTTCCAAATAAACAAAAGTGCAATGATGTTCCCAAGTATGTTTGTGCAATAGTTAAGCTGTGCACCAGAAATCTTTTCTGTTATTTATAAATTTCCTCGCAGACAGGATCAAAGTTCACTCTGACTTTTTTTGTTACCTCTGTTAACTGTTAACTTCCCACAGGCCATCATTTTCTTGTAAAGCAAAACACTTGTGGCTTAGTAGTCTTCTCACAAAAGGGAAAGGTTTGATTTCCTCAAATTTCCCTCTACACCTTAACACTGTTCTAGGTTCCTTTCCTACTTCAACTATCTTTCCAAACAGAAATCAGCACTGAAAAGTCTGTTTCATTTTGGTCCCATCAAAGCTGCATGGAGATAACCCTTCTTCCTTAAGAAAAGCCCAGGATTATTCACTTAGTTCTAAAACACTAGGCTGCAGATCAGGCTAAACTGGTTTTCTAATGTCATCTGTAGTCATGTGCATGGTATCACTGATTTCTAGGAAGAGGAAAACTCCACTTTGTCTTTTTTTTGTCTTTTTTCCTCAGATATGGTTACGTGTGAATGTGGTTGGAGGTTTTTCGGAAATCCAGTCTTCGCTTACAATTGAAGCACAGAAAAGAAAAAAATTGTGTGAGAAATTTAAAAAAACCAACCAACCAACCAAAGAAAATTAAAATAAAAAGAAAACAAACAAACAAAACAACATATATATAATATATATATAATATATAATGGCCAGTCTTCGCGAGCGAAGACAACAACAACAACAACAAACACACACACACAAGGAAAACCACCTGGAAGAAGACAGGAAAAGCTGTAGCAGGGTGTTAGTAATATTTATCTTTGACAATCACAGAATATGTTTTAAAACATAACTCTTCATTCTTCAATTATCTACAAAACATAATTTTACCAGGTTTCTTCTGTGTGAATTTGTTTTCTTCTTTTACTCTGTTTTTCCAGAGGAACAACCCACACACAAATATGCCATCTGCCTGTCTGCCTCCCAGCTCCAGTTTCAGTCAACAGCCAACTTGAGCCAAATTTGAGAGAGGTGCAACATTCTCAAAGATGCTAAGTTCTTACAGGTTCATGGAAAATTGGCAGCCTAAAAGAAGAAAGAAGCCCATTTTAGTATCTCATAGTGAATCAAAGATAGATCCAGCTCAATGTCTCTATCTGAAGAGGTAGCAGCCATCTGGCCAGCATGTAGGCACATTTTGCCAAGACACAAAACCTTTAAGTTTGGAAAAGACCTCCAAGATCACTTGAGTCTACCCTTTGGGAGAAGAGCCTGACCCCCATGTGGCTACAACCCCTTTTCAGGTAGTTATAGAGAGCAGTAAGGTCACCCTTGAGCCTCCTCAGGCTAAACAGTGCCAGCTCCCTCAGCTGTTCCTCATAGGACTTATCCTCTAGACCCTTCATCACCTCCATTGCACTTCGTTGGACAGAGTCCAGCACCTCAATGTCTTTCCTGAAGCGAAGGACTGTCATGGGTTTCAGTAGCCAGAGGGGGCTATAGAGCGATTTCAGTTGGAAACTACGAGAAGTTTCACTGTCCTATCCTATAAAGAAGCCAAAGACAGCCAGCTCCAGGAGGGACTTCCTTGGTGCTGGCCGAAGCTGAGCCAATGAAAAGGCGCTTTTGTAGTAATATATTTAAGAGCAGAGGAAGAGAAGGTTGTTGAACAGAAGAAATTCCAGCCTGGAGAAGAGAGGAGGAGAACATGGGATAACAAGCAGACTCCAAGGTCAGAGCAGCAGGGGTGAGAGAAGAGGCCCGGGGGGCCTCCCTCTCTCCCTCCAGCAGGGGAAAGACTGAGAGCTGAGACCCCCGCCACTGGTGGAAGATCATTGGGGTTCAGAGATTTTGCCCCCCCTGCAGCTCATGGAAGAGCACAACGCTGAAACTGGTGAAAGGACACAGCAAAGTCCTGCAGGAGACGTGTAGCCCGTGGAGAGGAAAATGCAGAAATACGTTTTCCCAGGTAGGACTTGTCCAAAATGACCCATGGAGCAGCAGATTGAAAAGAACTGTTACCCAAGGGGTGGATGGACCCACAGGGAGAAGTCCATCGAAGACTGTTTCCCGTGGGGAGGGACCCCACAGAAGCAGGGGAAGGACTCAGAGCCATGACCCCCTATATCTGTGGTGAAGACAATGATGACACAGGTTGTCCCCCTGCAGCCCACAGAAAACCATTGGGGCACAAAGATCCCCCCTGCACCTGATGGAGGAGTAACCCACAGGACAGCAGACTGGCAAGAACTGCAGTCAGAAGGGTGGACTCAAACTGATTACAAAAACCCTTCCCGTTTCCCTGCACTGCTTGGGGGAAGAAGGAGAACTTGGAAGAAACCGGGGGAGGGGGGGGGAGCAATTAAAACTGTTTTATTTCTCACTCTCTTAGTTTTATCTTGTTAGTAATAAATTTAAGTTTTATTCCCTACGTTGAGTCTGTTTTGCCCTTATCTATACTCATGAATTCCTTACTGGTTTTTTTTCCCTCTCCTCTGCTGCTTTGCAGAGGGAGGGTGAGAGAGTGGTTTGGTGGGTATCCTGGTATCTAGCCAGGGTTAAACCATCACAGGGACCTAGAACTGAACATAGGATTTGAAGTGTGCCCTCACCAGTCCAGTTACAGGGGGACGGTCACTGCCCTGGTCCCGCTGGCCACACGGTTGCTGATCCAGGCCAGGATGCCATTGGCTGCCTTGGCCACCTGGGCACACTGCTGGCTCATGTTCAGCCTCTGTTGACCACCATCCCCAGGTCTTTTTCCACTGGGTAGCTTTCCAGCCAACCTGCCCCCAGCTTGTAGCACTGCCTGGGGTTGTTGTGACTCAAGCACAGGACCTGGCACTTGAACCTCATACCACTGGCCTCAGAACATTGATCCAGCCTGTCCAGACCCCTCTGCAGAGCCTACACATGGACCTCTGAATCAGCCACAGGTAGCACTAAACTTTTCTATGTAAGATTGGTGGGAAGGAGCTGAAGGGTGGGACAAGGGCCTATAAAACACAGGAAGCTTGACTTCATTAATCTTGCTACTCCTCATCTTCTACTGATTAATTTCAAAGAAATGACCACCTCATTAATGAGAACACAGAAAGGAGAATCACCAATAATTTTTGGGCTCAGTACCATTGATCATCAGTGGGTTTAATTAGTTATTTTACTATAATAAAGAGTATCAGCACAGGCAAGGCACTCAGAAACTTCATGAAATCCAGAAAACTCATGAAGAGTTGACAGCATTATGCACTAATACACCTGTTATGCCATCTTGTCCCAGTACATAGTCATCACCTCACACCATCCTTACCTTACCTAAAATATCACTGTGGAGACTGACATGAAATATTTGAGATGATTAAATCTTATACTAGATTTCTATTAAATATCATTTTTGCTTACACTTGATGAGGGGCCTTTCTGTGTACCAGTATTGTCCCTAACCTATTTGTAGCCTAGACATGTGTAGCTATTTGTACCATGTTCAGATAAATACAGAACAAGGTTTTGAAATGCATTGACCTGAGAAACCTGATGGCAAGTCACAAGGGATTTTGAAGCTAAACCCCGCAGCCTTACATTATTATTCCTACACTCCTCAAAGCAGCATTTAATAAAAGTTCATTCTGCAGCAAGCTGTTCCATGAAGGCTATCTCCCGCATTTTTAAAAAGCAAGTCAAAATATCTTCTTGCAAAGTATATCCAAACCAGCATGGTTATGAATGTCATTCTGTGTTCTACTCATCTGAGAAAGAGACTCTGCCATGGTGGGTTCACATCTGCTGCCAGATGGGCCCATTTATCAGATGTTAGACTAACAGCAGAAGCTGGAGCAGCAGCAGGAAAACAACCTATCAAGACAAAGAAGACACAGATTAATATAAACCATCAAAACTTGAAAACAAAGCAAGCATTGTTGCAAAAGCAATGAGAAAATGTGTCTGTTGAGTAACTGCTGCATGTCAGTAAAATATGAGAAAATTTGCTTTGCCTGAGACTGCAGAGAAAGTCTGATGATACGATTTCTGTGGGACTGCTTATATGAGAACAGAAAATAAAACCAACTAAACAAAAAAGCAGTAAAGCAATAGGAAAAAAACCCCTTGGTATTAACATTTAAGGGAGGTTGTCTGGTGAAGAAAATTTATGTAATGCCTTTGCTGCAGAACATCTGAATATTTAGATAACACCCACCAATGCTGGGAGTCAGTGGTTTTGCAGAAAAAAACCTACAAATAAAAATAGCAAGATACTGTGTTAGACACACAAACTCATACACACAGTTCAAAGGAGGATTAGATATATGAAAAAGGTTTACACAATAGCAACTGAAACAGGCTGCAGCTGCCTGCACCAGCAAAAAATAAGAAACAAGGTCTGGATCATGAAAGGGAGTTTGGTTCCCAGCTGTAGGCTGCAGGACAGGGCCAGTCTCCATTCAGCACAGTCTCCCAGAATTCCCTAGTCAGTTAGTCAAGTAACAGCTAAACTAGCTCAGCAGTTTTCCCTTGGAAGCCCTGGAGGTTCATCTAGACCATAACTTATTTTCCTTTCTTTTTTGCACACAGTAGTGGAAAGGGCAGAACACTCACCTGGCTTACTGTAGTCTTGAGCCTAGTTCTCTGGAAAGCACCCTGCATGATGATTGCTTAGTATCTTTTTGCTCATTCAGTATTTTTGCAAAGAGCCCCTAGGGTTCACAGCTTTGGGTTCTCTTCCATGAGTGGAAAGGTTCTCTTCTGTGTGTGGATACCTTTCTCAGTCAGAGAGGTAGAAGGTTTAAACCCGGATTCCCACAATATTATATGAATGCCCCAACCACCCCTACCTAACACCAGTAAGACTTTCCCAGAGGATGTGGCATTTGCAAACCCAGTGGCAAGGTGCAGGCTAGAGTCAAATCATTTGATACCTTGAACTGTCAACCTGGGCTCTACTCCATCACTGAATAGAGTGTAAATCCAGTGCAAGCCCAAGGAGTGGCCAGTTTGATTTCAGCATCTCCCAGTGAAACCAGGCACTGCCAGGGCTCCAACTAGACTGTTGAAGGTTTTGTGAATGCTGCTGTATGTCATCAGCTGTGAACGTATGATGATTCCCAGGTCCTTTTTGTGATTTATCTGAGTGAAAGACCTCACTAGATGTTCTTCCTTTTTATCAGTGGCTATGGTCACTGGATTTCACAGGTTGAGCAACATGCTGGTGCCAACAATGTTTGCTCCCATTACACTCTCCATGAGAGATCCCTCTGAGCCAGATTTGAAGGAGCAAATTGGCACAGAGAAGTCACTTTACACTAGTCAGGTAACAAATCTGTGTGTAACTCTGTATTTCCAACACCCATGTTATTTTAAAAGGATGCAGGAGGCCTGTTTGTCTGCCCTAAAAGCAAAAGAGACTGTGCCATTTCTTGTGCCTGTGGAATCTTCAAAGGCAGATTGCAGAGACTTTGAGTCAGGCATCTCCCTCTCTCTCTGAGTCATATGCTTATGAGAAGCTATTAGTCACTTTTGTCATCCATTCTAGCATGGGACAAAAAGTTGAGCTGAGTGAAGTACTTTGTAAATATAAATATCTCCCAATAGGAAAACAACAACTTCCTTCCTCTATGGAAACTGTAAACAAGAAAAAAAAATATTCTTGACATACTTGTTGGATCCACTTCTGGTATTTCTTAAGCATGTGCTGTCAGTATAACCAGTTGGATGATTTCCCCACAAGGCATCCAAAACACATTTCCAGCTACAGCTGCTATGCACTTGCTGAAGTAAGGCAGTCATAGTCTCAAAGGACTCTGCACTGGCTGCACAAACAACTGGCCTCATCATTTTTGCTGTGTTTTGTTTATGATGCCAATAGCTAAAAAAGAAACAGGTCTGCATCTTGCAGCATCAGAAAAGAGTTTGAAGACAAAATACATTTTTCTATTTATCTCAAACCATTCCACAGTAACCTATATGTAGCAGGGTTGGTGTATTTTGTTCCCAAAGTAGAAAAGGCCGAGAAGTTGCCAACAGTAGCCATGCTATTCCTTGAAATACACTTATCAGCTCCAAGAGGTCTGGGGTTACAAAGATTTTGAATCATTTGAAATACCAGAAATTTTCTATTCCAAAATCTATGCACCAGAATGCCTTCTAATGGAACTTTCCCATAAACTAAAGAAACATGTATTGGTGACTTGTGACCACTGAGTAATTAAACCACATAGCAGCTCCCTAACAGAGATAATTCCTAGACAGTCAGACTTGTTTGAAGAAAATGACACAATGGAGAATGACATAAACTGTCAATGGGGTAATGGGCAAAGCTGCATTCAGGTTTGTCCATCCATCCTCTATAGATTGTAACTCTAATGCCTGGGAGAGTCACTGTTTACAACTATTACAACTGCTCCTGGGAGAGGCTCTGGTTTATATATGAACTTACAAATTCTTCTTCCATGTTCGTGTTCCTTAGAAAAGAAAGAGTTGGGTGAGTTTTTTTTTAAAGAAAGGAGAACATGTGTACATATGGGTTTCTCAGCAAAGTGCTGCCCTCTGCTCACAGCAAGCAACCCGAGAACTTCCCAGCTGGGTGGAAGCAGGGCATCTGTGAACCTAGATCAGAGCTCCACTGCTTGACAGCCACTGAGAGCAACTCCTTCTTCTGCAGCTGCATTTGAGATGCAGGAGAGGATACCTCTCTTGACAGCAGCCGCAGGGCAGAGAGCTCAGGTAGCGAAGATTTTTGTCCTCTATCTGCAGAACAGCCCACTATGACATGAAATAGGCCTACAAATGTCCAAGGTCTGCCAAGCACAGCATGAACTGCAGCTGAGCTAGGTGTTGAGGGAACCGTGACCTGCCTATTGGCTCTTGAATGGCACACACAGAAGTACTGCACTTCTGAGGGCAGATCCCATGCTCAGAACCAAGGAAATGTCTCCAAATCCCAGAAATGAGCACCACAGGGAAGACTTCATGTATATAAGTCCTGCAATCAGGAGTAAGGTGATTCAGGAAAGAAAAATGGGCAGCTTGTCTCACTGATGATTATACTACAGCATTCCTAGAAGCGTATAGGACCTGAGATGACCAATACAGATCAGCGAAGGGATTCTATAAAGTAGGCACTTGATTGTTCTAGTCAATTCATCACACTTCTGCTTACTTCTACTCCTTGGTCTAATTTTATCCTAGTGCTGCTCTTCAACAGTACTCTGTGCAGCCATGTGTAAGCAAGGTCAGTTCTCAAGCTACTTCCCTTTCTTTTAGGGACTAAGCTCAGGTCCATCTTTGTCTGCATTAGTTAGCACTTACTTATAAATACTTTTCAATTTCTGCAGAT